AAGAGTATAAATATTAAAATGCTTAACTCTTTATTGTCGTAAAGATTTTTATAAATTCCTTGATGCCCCATTGTTATTTCGTTGTATAATGTAATTCTAATTAAATTTTTTACATTATATATTTTTCAATAAAATAAAATATGTTTTTTAATAAAAGTCTTCAAAGACAGATCTCGCCACAATTCATAATATAGCATATAAAATCAATTTAAAGTTCTCTCGGTTTATGTATAAATGGTAGAAAGTAAGAAATGGAAGAAAGAGTATAGGAAGTGTGTTAAATTAACATTAAAATTGGCAATTAAAATCTTAACTAATTAATTAAATTAAAAGAATATTTGTGTGTATGAAGCTTTTACTTGATATAACTGTTGATTGAGGATTACAATAGTTTTAAATTAGCATAATACTATAGTTCATATTCATTCAGACAATACTGAATTGTAAAATTTTTTAAATAGTTTTAATTTATAAAATGCAGACAGAAAAAAAGGAAGAGAGAAAGGAAAAAATATCTTTCTTCGTAGAAATTTATGTGCTTAACCATATAAATTATTATACGATGCATTTGTAAGTTATCACAATAGAATTGTCACTTTAATTTTTTTTATTAATAAGAATTATTTAAGATTTCCCTTAAATTGCCATCATTTACTTTTTACATTCTTGTATTCATTATGTCACTTATTATTGTCGTGGATAAGATCGACGTTCTCCAATCGCTTCTACCTTTCTCTCCTTGTCCTTCTTTCTCTTACTCTCAGATCATCTGTGATTCTTTTTTCTTCAACCCACTCATCTTATGCCGAATAGATTTTACACGGACATTCAAGCTTGACTGGCTCTATATATCATCCCTCTTAGAAAATTCCGCGCCCTCCGTCGACATGACCTCGTACCAGGTCCTTGATATCTCGCGCAAGGAGTCTCTTGGCAAGGTGAAATAGTATTGATACAATGCCATTACTGAGCTGTGCCAAAACGTCTGGCTCATCTTGCGCCATGACGGAGGAGAATCATAAGCGATCTTTAGTTGCGAGCGCTTGCAGTCTGCCATCTCGATGAAAATCGTTCGTCAGACTGCATAGCGTAAAACGCAATCCCGTATGTGCGTCAGTTTTGTTACACGTACGTTCTTTACCATATAAATCTTGTACATTTTTTATTTACTGATCTGCAGAAATATAACAAGTAATTAATGAATTATTATATATAAAGCCATTATGTTATTTGTTAGAACTCGATGGAGAGTCAGCAAATATTTCTTCAATCATATTTTTCGTAAGTAAATAAAATCGCATTTAATGTATTCATCTGTGAGCATTTCGGTGGTTTTTCGCCCGCGTATTGTTTCTCTTGTTTGATTTTAATGGAAAAAACATATCCCGTAATTTCCGGAAATATGTATACATTATAGATACGTCGTAATAAAATCCAATAGCGTTAATGCAATGCGATATGCAAATAATCAAGAAAGAGGTATACTTTGATGAAAAATAAATCAGAAAATATTTTCGTTATGAATGAATGCTTTAATATGTTATTAGATCCCGCGTGTATTGACAAACGCGGGAATCGCGAAACTTTTCCGATATCAAAGTAGCAAATAATCTGAAACGAGAGCGCGCTATTGATAATAGCAACTCCTATTATTCAACAACAAGAAATATGATGCCGTAAGTACCAAAATAGGCAGCAATGACGGAAGCCACAATCTTAGAACGGCGATCCATCACCCGGGGAAAACTATGTGAACTACCGAACGTCACGCTCGTTTCGATCATCAGTTAGAGAATGATAAATCTCTCAACGTCGACGAGGACCATCGCGAGAACATGGTGAACGGAACTCGATCCGGCACTCGCTCGACACTCGCGAGCCTGCCAATAATCGATCATAGCATGCTGCAGCATGTTGTCATTTGTCACATATTGACTCCAAGATAACTCGAATTGGCGGTAGGCTCGTCTCTCAATTTTCCCTCTTTCCTTTTCTGGTAAAATGGAAATAAAGACGATGTTGCACTTGTCGTTGTCATTGTTAAATTACATCCCGCTGACGCCGACGTTTCGCGCAACTTCCGGCTGCCATGCCGGCACTTCGATATGAGAACCGCCTCAGTTTATTGGACGTCGCATATGCGGCCAAACACAGCTGCTCTAATACCGTTCGTATCTCTTCCTTCCTCCCCCTCCTCCCCTTCTCTCTCTCTCTCTCTCTCTCTCTCTCTCTTTCGTAGTTTCAAAGTGGATACATTGCTGTCGCGCTCGATGAAGTTGCTGGTCGGAAATGCGAACGGATGGATTCACGTCGTCAGTTATTACCTACATATCGCACGACCATTGGAAAAAAGAACCAACTGCACGTGGATTGCAGACAAAATTAATTTTTGTTTTCTGGAGAAGAGCGCTGTCTAACATGATACATTAAAAATGTATGCTATATGGAAAAAGAATATCACATTTTCTTGTAACAATTTCTAAATAATAATTCTTCGCATTTGTCCGTAAAAACACGTCTGCAAAACATACATATATATATATTTAACTCTTCAATGCACTTTGTCACATATAATAATAATGCAATACACTGGATATAATGTAAGATTGTATAAAAATGAATGTATAACCATTTTTTTTTAAATTAAAACACTAAACATTAAGAAATATAATTAATAATACAATTAAGTTAATATTATCAACAGTAACATCAAATATATATATGGTTATTAATAAAGAAGTTATAAAGTAAAAGGAAATTCGGGAAATTTTATATGCCATATTGAGAGTGGCATGAAGGAGCTAATGGAACTTTACAAAAAGAGAACTCTGTCTTATAATGACCACAAAAATCTACGGAAATGCCTATGGCAGAAGCGAAAGAAGCGCGCCTCGCAAATAATTCTACTCGCCTTAAGGCTTTCAATTTCGCCGTGAGTACGCATTTACACAACGCGTGCAAAGTGCATCGGCACTGGGAAATAGCGTAGCGTATCAAAGGGGCTTCACAATTTCCCTTGTGTTTAATCCAATGCAACAGTAATTACGTCACCGATGCGACGCGCGACGCCGCGCCAACCGTAGATACATAAATAACGGAAAACATTAAGATAAATAATGTTTCGATCACAGCGGCGACACGCAGTCGTGATTGCGTGATAAATTACTTATAGCCACTGGACGCAACGGTCGCAATGGCGAATGGATCCGTGGCAACGGAGAGTTTCAGTAAAATAACAGTGATTCAGTTATCTGCCCTTTGTTTATTATCCTCTCGAGTTTATCTCATTTCTTGAAAACGAGATAAATGT